AAATCAAATCAGAAATTTAACTCAAATTTATTCTAAATCACTTTAAATTTAAGTTACGGACAATGAGTTGGTGGAATTGAGTCATGTCATTGCAGTGTGCAGAGGCAGATGTACATGGTAAAAGTGGAGTCTCCGACACACGAGAACTTCGACAAAAACTTCATATATATTTGTAATTTTTAAAGAAATAATCAAATATTAACAGAGACCCCATTATTAATCTTTATGAGCGGCGATAAATTTACATTGAATGTAACCGTGATCCCGTGACCGTAAAATTCTGAGTCCTTCTCTAGCTGTAAGTGGTTTTGCCGGAAGTAGGGGGCCAATCACTACTTGACCAAATACCATTCTTCTTTCTAAGTTTTAGAAATTACCCTCAAAGCTAGACGATGTGCTGTTCTGAGAAGTGAGAAGAAAAGATAAAAAGGTATTTCGGTTTGCCTCTGTTTGTCGATGGAAAACACAACTAGTAAACCCCAAATGCCAGATGTGAATTTCAGAAAATAACATTTTCGACATAAAAAATCTTTTCCGGGGAAATAGGCGGGGCACTCTAACTAGAATCGAATTGAGAACTCTATGGACTTCTACCACCATAGAATAATTACACTTCCTTTTTTATTTTATTTTCAGGCGGTTTATTTATATTTATAGATTACTTTTATTGCGTTCTTTTAAAGGAGATCTTGTAGGTTTTTAATATTAGGATAAGGAATGAAAAAATATTTATGATATATACCCAATAACGAGTAAAAAGATAAAATATGGCCCAATTTTAATTGCATTATTTCCCCAACAGATATAGAATGAATAATATTTTTATATATAAATAAAAAATATATATTTGAGTTGGATGAATTGTATTATGATCAATAGTTTAACTCATATTAATCCATGTCTCAAGCAAATTTTGGAAGGGTTATGACCCAAGCAATTTTAATTCGCCCAAAATTAGCCTAATCTTGCCTATTTGATACTCATACTTATAACTCATAACTCATAATATTCGCTTGCATTTGGCGATATCTAACACTTAATCAATATTTTTTCAAATTTTCAGACAAAGAGAAGTTCGGCAGTTGTATGGCTAGTTGTCAAGCAAACTACTGTTCAGCAAAGGCATCTGTTTGAATAAGTTTTTGTTGTGTTGTATCCGTGCGCCACAATTATACCTATGTATACTACTGGTCTTATTAAATAACGTGGTTGCTATAAATTTGAAAAAATTGTATTCGTTTGCAAACCGATGTAGTTATCTTTGTGGGCAGCTATTAAATAATTCTGTTGGCTATGTTATTAATATTGTACTCATACGGTGCTTATGTACTAGCTTGTTGGCTATGTTATAAATATTGTACTCATATGGTGCTTCCGTGCGGTACATTTGCATCTATGCCCGTTTTTTGTGCCACGTTTTAACGTGTGCCCGCTTTGCAAAAAATTTTGCAAGCGTACCCGCTTTTTTCGCATAACTTCAGCATACGGGGCTGAAGTAGCAAAGGCAATAACGCAAAACTTCAGCATTCTAGTAGCCGGGCCTGAAGTTCAGCTCTAGAGCTGAAGTTTTTGTGTTTGTAACTGGGGAACTTCAGCTCTAGAGCTGAAGTTTTTGTTTTATAACTGGGGAACTTCAGCTCTAGAGCTGACGTTCTTAAAACCCTTGAGTATGTACTGCTGAAGTTTCTATTTTAAAACTTCAGCTCGAGGAACTCACTATGGTTCTGCTTGACCATAGCATCTCCACGATGGAGACGCACTATGGTTCTGCTTGAATTTGCTCTATTTTGTTTCGTATCTGACAATCCATTTATTTGGTATTCCAAAACATAAAGATGAATGCTTATTAGCATCACATTATTCAGTCATTAAACCATTATATATATATGTAAAACAAAAAAGGATCTTCTTCCTGGTGGGAGTTATGTACAGGCCAGCGTTATTCATTACTTCTGTGAAATATCTCAGAAATTAAAAGTTACAGCTTCTGTTATCAAAGCAAGAAAGTGACGGACAAATGTTTATATAAAATGCTCAAGTAATAAAAACCACTGAGGTTCAATTCGTGAAAACCAGTGATATGGAGATCACTGGGAGAAGGAGGAGGAGAAAGGGGGCTGAAGTTGTTTAAAAAGTGGGTACAAGTTAAAAGTTTTTAGAAAAATGGGTATAGGTTAAATGGGGGCGACCAAATAGGGCGCCCGGTGCAATTTTTACCTTCCGTGCTTATGTACTAGCTTATAACCGGCGGATTTGCATCTATACCCACTTTTTGGGTCACGTTTTAACTTATACTCGCTTTGCAAAAAAAATTGCAAGCATACCCACTTTTCGCATAAACTTCAGGCATACGGGCCGGAAGTAGCAAAGGCAATCATGCAAACTTCAGCATTCTAGTAGACGGGCCTGAAGTTGTTTGTATTTGCTGAACTTAAGCATTCTACTAGCTCAAGTTTTGCTCTCTATTTGCTGAACATCAGCATGTTTTAGCTGAAGTTTTTTCCAGGATTCAATAGTTTTGTCGTAAAGCTTTTTCGAAAACTTCGGCAGAAGATGCTGAAGTTATTTAGTTCACTTGTGAAAACTTCAGCACTAAATAAGCTGAAGTTTTGTCCTACATTCATTAGTTTTGTCATAAAGCTTTTTCAAAATCTTCAGCAGAAGATACTGAAGTTATTTAGTTCATTTGTAAAAACTTCAGGACTAAATAAGCTGAAGTTTTGTCCTGGATTCATTAGTTTTGTCATAAAGCTTTTTCAAAAACATCAACAGAAGATGCTGAAGTTATTTAGTTCATTTGTAAAAAGTTCAGCACTAAATAAGCTGATGTTTTGTCCTGGATTCACTGGTTTTGTCATAAAGCCTTTTAAAAAACATCAGCAGAAGATGCTGAGATTATTTAGTTCATTTGTAAAAACCTCAACACTAAATAAGCTGAAGTTTTTTGCAACATTTTAGCGATGCATCAATTCAGATATTTGATCGTTAAGGTGTCACGACCCCAAAACCAACCCAGTCGTGACGGCGCCTATCAAGGAACTAGGCCGGCCGACACAATCCCAAAACTAATCAATATTTTCATTCTTAGGATAAAATCAAAGCTATTTAACAATGAACCTTTAAAAAGTGTTTAAAACAAAACAACAATGCGGAAAGAAAGCCCGACATCGGGGTGTCACTAGTCATGAGCATCTACTACAACCGCTTGAAAACATCAAGACCAACATGGCCGGGAAAATCGCCGAAGGAAACTAAGGGAGAATAAGGAGGGAGGAATGCAGGGCTGCGGTCGCCAGGCAGCTACCTTGCTAATTCCGATGAACCTACCACTGAGTAATCAACACCCGCTTCAGGGTTTAGAAATACTTAAATCTACGCACAAGGTGCAGGGAGTAAAATAAGTACGCCAACTCAGTAAGTAATAAAGGTAAATAAAGACTGAGTTCAGTGACGAGCATTTAAAAAAATCATATACATCTCATAACATAAACCTCAGTTGAAATAACAAGGGTCATATCAACAGCTAAATTCCGAACATCTCGTAAAAATTCCATTTTCAATGAAAGTTGTTTAAAACATTTGTTCAGCATTTTCATTAGAGGCTTAGTGTAAAAGAAGAGTGAAAAGAGTAATTTCATAATAACAAGCTCCTCGGGCAAAGTATCACTCATATATATATAGCCCCCCGGGCAAGCCTCTCAGTCACTCATGACTCAACTCTCATCAATCAGCGCTTACACTCTGCACTCACGCTCAATAGGTACCTTATAATAACCGCTGCGGCGTGCAGCCCGATCCATAAATATATATAGTCGACTGCGCTCACTGGGGGTGTGCAGAATCCGGAGGGGCTCCTACAACCCAAGTGCTATATCGCTGCGGCGTGCAGCCCAATCCATAATTATATAATCCTCACCAACGGGCCCTCGGCCTCTCTCAGTCATCAACCTCACAGCCACTCGGGCATTTCAGTGAAAAATTAGGGAACTCAGCCCAAGCGTTTTTCATATATTTGAAAGTATATATATATATATATATCACTGCGGCGTGCAGCCCAATCCATAATTATATAATCCTCACCAACAGGCCCTCGGCCTCTCTCAGTCATCAACCTCACAGCCACTCGGGCATTTCAGTGAAAAATTAGGGAACTCAGCCCAAGCGTTTTTCATATATTTGAAAGTAGAGTAATGAAACAGAATCAAAAAATAAACAGGTAAAAATCATGACCGAGAATATGCTTTCGAATCAAAACAGTGTGAGGATAGTTGTAAGATACCCTTGAGGGTCCAAACAGTACGGCACAAGGCCCCAAATATGGCATTTAGCCAAAGTTAACAGATTCATTTCTAAAAATACATAGATATCATATAGAGTTTATCAAAATATGCAACTCTACAGCTGTCATGGGACGGACCAAGACACAATCCCTACTGGTGCACGCCCACACGCCCGTCACCTAGCATGTGTGTCACCTCATTTATCAAAATAGCACGAAATTCCGGGTTTCATACCCTCAGGACTAGATTTACAATCATTACTTACCTCGAACCGGACGAAGATCTACTCTGCAATGCCCTTGCCGCTCGACTCGGCCTCAAATAACCCCGAATCTATCCAAATCAGAATCATATCATCAATACATGCTAAAGGAACAAAGCCCATACGAAAATTATCAAATTAAATCAAAATTCCCGAAATTGGCCACACCCGACCCCCAGGCCCATGTCTCGGGATTCAATAAAAATGACCACACTAGAATCCTTATCCTCTCACGAGTCCATACATACCAAATTTACAAAAATCCGACCTCATTTGGTCACTCAAATTCTCAAAATCCACTCTCCAATTTCAAGCCCTAAATTCCCAAATTTCTAGTCCAACTTCTCAATTAGATGATGAATAAGATCATAGATTCATGAAATTTAAACAATTATAGGTTAGATACCCAACGTTGCTCTTTCAAATCCCTTGAAAAATCGCTTCTCTCCCAAGTTCCTTAAACCCAAAATCAAAAAATGAAGAACAAACCTCGAGCTGGGGTTTTCTGCCCAGCAAAACCGCCCTGCGGTCAAAATAGCGCACTGGCGGTGCCGCTTCTATGCCTAAAAGTCTGCACCTGCAGATGTCACTTAACTTTTCAAAAAACCGCACCTGCGCCCAAGGAATCGCACCTGCGGGCCCGCAGATGCGACAAAACACCCGCTTCTGTGACTCCTCCCCTGGCCCTCTATTTCCGCATCTGCGGCTTGCCACACCGCACCTGCGACCACGCACCTGCGGTACCCAATCCCCAAGTGCAGAAATAACATAAGCAGCAACTTTAGTTGCACTAACTAAATTCCAACTCTTCCATTAACCATCCAAATTTACCTCGAGGCTCTCGGGACCTGAACCAAAAATACCAACAAGTCACATATCACCATTCAAACTTATTTAAACCTCCGGAACACTCAAAACATCATCAAAACACAAAATTACCCTCGGATTCAAGCCTAAGATTTTCCAAATTTCCATTCCGACCACGATGTAAAAAATTTCACGGCCGATCGAGAACCGCCAAATTTTCAATTTCGCCAATTCAAGCCTAATTCTACCACGGACCTCCAAATTACATTCCGGACGCGTTCCCAAGTCCGAAATCACCTAACGAAGCTAACCAAATCTTAAAATAAAAATCCGATATCGAATACTAAAAAGTCAAGATTGGGTCAAACCTTTGATATTTAAAGCTTCAAGTTGAGAATCATTCTTCCATATCTATTCCGATTAACCTGAAAACCAAAACTGATGATTTACATAACTCATAATACATCATACGGGGCTAGTCATGCCCGAGAACTGGCGAGCAAAGTGCAAAATGCTCAAAAATGACCAGTCGGGTCGTTACATCCTCCCCCACTTAAACATACGTTCGTCCTCGAACGTGCCTAGAGTTGTTCCGAAAACCATCAAATCGCTGAATAACCTTACCGTGCACATACCCGGGGGTGATCCCACGTCACCCTGTCCCATATAGGTCCAATCACACAACATAACTGGAATTTCACGATTCACCCTAGCCTATAACCTTAGAACAAAATCTCCATTTCCGAAACTATCCATAAGATAAGAATCTCACATCTATACAGTGTTTAAGTCTGATCAAGCTGCAACAAACCATAACTGTAACCCAAGATGTAATCACATGATATACCAAATAATTACACCACTCGTAGTGATAACTTCTAATCACTGTAGCTGCTCAAACAAGCCAATACCGGCAATAATTCCTTTTATCAAACAAGGCCTCATTCCAACAGTTCTACTCTAGTGACATGACACATCGATACAATCTAAAGCCATAACCCTTGCGACCCGCGCACCAATAAGAAA